TCGAGCAACTGTTCGGTCCTTTCCAACATGCAATTTGCTTCTCGCACCGAATTGAATTTCACCAGACCGGTTGATGCGCATGGAGATCTTCCCGACGTCCCCCTGTTTATTTGGGAAAAGCTTGAACACTTGATTGCAAAAAGAGCTACGAAGCCGTCGAGACTCTTGCCCTTCAGCAGGCACACAATCGCCAATCTGAGTCGGGCATGTCATTAATTGACAATGAGCACGCAATGGGTCAGCTCATGCTAAAAACATTTAACCAAGGAGCGCTAGCCCAGCCGGTGTGTTTATGTCCATGAAGTTCTGTCTGGTCTTCTTTTTCGACGATTCCCGGGGTGGCTTATGGTACTCGACATCAAAACGAGCTGCAGTATAGCCGGTCATTCGCATAACCTTGGTGAAGTTTGCGAGGCCCGCGTAGAACTCTAAGCTGTCATACACCTGTCAGCGGTAAGGGCTAGCACTTCTTTTTGTAAAGAAAGACCCCGCCTCGTCTAGATGATATAAGTCACTCGTGAAGATGACCAAAAGGACACATAGGATAAATTCCTCGGAGTGGCTCGTCGAATCTCAGTATTTCCAGGAACCGCTCCAACCATGTTTCCATACAAGTGGCGCGAGGGACACCAAGAGCCTTGAAGGCAAACATCAGCTGGTCTAAACCAACCATTGCTGTTCACTATTCGGAAATACCTATGGCTTCCCAAACGCCAGCAGGCAAACGGATATCCACTGTGTGCAGAACATGAGTCACAAGCAAGCCACATGCGTGCAAACATGCCAGGCGCGCTCTTGGGCTTGAGGAGGCCGACCCGGACTTTCCACATCCGACGCGCCTTGACCGGACGACTCATGAGTTGGAACTTTAATTTGGGAGCTTGCAGCCTGCGCAATCAGCTTTCCCACCCCCTACGTGCAACATCCACTTCTTCGGGATAAAGGGCGTTTCGACACGCCCCGAGAAAACGGGTATCAGGAGTAGGGGCCGCTTGCTTTGCAACTTTTTCCGGCGGTCGAAACCGCAAGTAGCTTCTAGATCGAAAGCCATGGGCAAGGAGAGCCTACTGCAAACACGAATCTGCGACCAAGCTTCCCTTGGCCGGCGCGTTGGTAACTGGTTCAGCTTTCAACCGAAAAGTAAAGGCAAAATTGTTGTTGCGCGTGTTTCTCAAAACGCCGGCCTCTAACGGCAAGCAAGATTGCAAGATTTGACCCCGTGCGATCTCAAGTACCTTGCCCTGTAAGAAAAATGTCGCCATCAGATCGGCTCAGTCCACGTCAGCCAGGCGCCCAGCGACCACCCAGCCGCACTCCTTCAAGCTGGCCACGGCCGTTTTGGGAACTTCAGGCCAGGCGTGCTTTTTGATGAGCTGAGCCTTGCAAGTGACTGGCTTTCTGGGGCTGGAGGTCAATGGGAAGTTGCCACAAGCGCCAAACACTTTCCAATCCCTCTTGATTTGACTATGGCTCAAAAAGCACGGTCGTTAACGACTTGTGCCCAATTCAGTTTCCTTCTCCGTCTCCGACTGAAACGAAACCAAACAATTCAGATTAGGAGCTAGGATGCAGCAGCATTTCACAGCAAGCATAGTGCTGTAATACGGGTGCGGCGTCCCGGGGAACTGGAAGTACGCAAGGCTGGATTGGACAGAGCTGATCTTGTCGACCAACCCACATGCCGCCCTGGACCAGTAGACGGAGCACGCGAAGCCTTCGGAGATGTTGTGAAGCAAGGGTTTCACGGTCCACTTGAAGTAATCCATTGAGCCTGTCATCTTGACGTCGCTGCACGCAAGGGCCATCTCATCCACAATCGTTTCGAAAGCTTCATCGCTCATCGTGTATTGCACAAGTGCTTTCTTTTCCTTCTTGGCTTTTTCTTTCTTCTTGGGAGCTGCTTGCTTTTTCGGCTGCCGCGCATTGTGATTTTTCTGCCCCTTCGTGATGCGTCTCTTCGAGGCCTTGCTCTTGTCCTGAGTTGCCCTGTGCTGCCGCCGCATGGCCTTGTATTTCTGAAACACAGACAGCTTGCCAAGCGCCATGGTGGCTGGCGCCTGCGCACATGTCTTGGTGTTCTTGCCCTTTTTGTTCTTCTTGGTCGTCTTCACTGCCTGGCCCACAGAGATTGCTTCGTCGAGCTGTTTGCGCTTTCCGTTTTTCAAGATGCCGACCACTGCTGAGACCTCTTTATCCCCCTTGCTCGTTTTGCTGATGCTGCCGTTGTCAATGCTGCCTTTCTTGCTCTTCTCGCCATTTCCCTTCTTGCTCTTCTTGCTCTTCTCATTCTTGCTCTTCCTGCTCTTCTCGACCTTTCCCGTCTTGCTCTTCTTGCTCTTCTTGCTCTTCTTGCTCTTCTTGCTCTTCTCGCCCTTTCCCTTCTTGCCCTTCTTGTCCTTCTTGCCCTTGCCCCGCGAGGCTGCTTTCTGGAGCTGGTCTCGGCGCGTAAGCACCTGGGCAGCATTAAGGCAGCTTTTTGCCAATCGGGGTCAAGTTTAAACAAAAACTAAAGATCGCTAATTCAGAAAGGGAACTGGCTCTTCAATCTCCGGCTCATGAATGCCAGGTGGAAAGGTCGGAAAGGGTGTTCTGGGCTCCCAAATGTCGACTGCGTAAAACTCTTCGGTAAGGTCACACGGTTGCAGCTCGGGCGTTGGGCCCCCGTTTCTCTTGCCCTCGGCGGTGGTTTCCTTTGCAAGCGGGGTGCCTCGATGCTTTCTGCCCTGGAAAACTTCACGCTTCTCACTCAGGGTAGGTGACTTCTTGGAGGGTATGGGCGGCTGCGCAGCAGCAGTAGGGCTGGGGGCTGCCAGGATGTTTATCTGCTGGGTCTCTTCTGCATCCATGACAGCAGAACCTGCCAAGGTGTTTGCGGGAATATCTCGCCCACACACGCGGTTGAGCTGCACACGTCACAAGGGCAACCATGTCATGCAGACACGTGCACACACATACAGGTGTCCGTCGATCCAAAAAACACACCACTCGGTTTTGCCGAGCTTTCCTAACTCGATCCTGACATACCATCCCAAAGTGATACAACGCGCTTTACCCCGGCTAGAAAGTCTAGGGCAACTGCGACTGGCCAAGCCAAAAGAGCTCCACCCCATCACGCCTGAGGCGGCCTTCGGCTCCAACGAGCTGATCGAGGCTGTGGCCGCTTTGGCCGCGCGAATCCTTGGGCTCGTTATCAGGGATTTACAGAACCCGCTCTTGTTGGAACCCACGAGCGTGTTTTTGTTTTCTGCGAACACCCTGAATTTACAGCGATTCGGAAAATACGGCTTTACACGTGCTACGCCCCCAAACAAACATGGTGCTGGGAATTGGTCAGCTCAGCAATCGGCAACGTAGGGCCCTGACTGCTCCAATCTCTTTTGGGCAAGCTCCAACTTCTCTCGAAGGGACTCCGCCGGGCTTGGCGTGCCTAGAAGAGGAAAATACTGACATGCTGTTGGAACCAGGAAGGATTTGAAAAGCAGGAAAGACAAATCTGTGGACAAAGTTACCAGCAGTTGTGCTTGAAGTTGGGGACCGGACTTCGGAGGCAACCTGATTGGCCTTCTCGGGCTTCTCCAAGCTTTTTGCATCCTCTGCTGGGGGCTCAACCTCGTAGTGGGGCTCATCGGGATCAGGGCCATCATCATCATCCCAAGCATCCTCATCCAGCTCCTGGCTGGCAAAACAAAATGCATGGTTGAAAGGCAAAGGAAACCACAAGTTTGATCGAGCGCGTAGGCAGTCCTCTGGGGCACCGCGGGCTCGCGCTGCTTCCAATTGCTCGTTCACCTCTTTTATGGCGTCCTGCCAAACAACATGCGTGAGGTAGTGACGGTTGCACATGCATTTGCGTCCTTCGCATCAGGGTTGAGGATGAGACACAGACGTTGCACATCTGGATCCTGCAAAGGAGTGCGGGATACCAATCCGAATGCACCCTACAAAGAAAATAAAGTAAACATGCCTGGCTTTTCAGGGTAGCGCACGCACACACACACATACGACTTTTCGGAGTGAAAACGCACATCGAATTCTTTGGGGCGGTCCTGCGAAACTTCGCATCGGTGAGCCTTGCGCTTCAGCTTGGACAGATGCTCCCGGATTTGCCACCCTGCTCTGATAATCGAGTCCTCACTCGCTGTTTGGTTGTTCATGAAGTAAAGGTCACGCACTTGCTGGCGCAAGGGGTCTACCGCGGGGAGCTTCCACAATTGATCAGCCATCCTCTTCGCAATGGGTTCCAAAACGGCGGCATTCTTTTTGATGGTCTTGACAGTGCAGCTGGCTTTTGTATTTTCATCCACCAAATCTCCACCAGAGCGGATCCGTGCTCTGATCGATTCGGTTTTATCCCACTCGGACGCAAGGTTGTTGACATCCGTCGGCAAACACCCCGATTCTTTTGGGCGAACCATGGGGTGACAAAACAAAAGCTATAACAAGCTGACCGGGCCCTAAAAAGCTGCGTTGCCACCAAACATGCAACTTCACACGAGTCATGCACCGATTGCATCACCGTGCTCTCTTCTGGCAGGTCTTGGGTCCGGAGCCTGTGAGTCCGGCAGACCATCTCGTTGGCCATGGCAGCAAAAGGGAAAAAAGCGTGTTCGATCCCCGATAACGTTGATAATACGAGACTATCGGACTTGTGATTCGCTGTCGCGCCAGCTGTGTTGGCCTTCACATGTTTCTGCTGCTGTTGGGCAGCCATGCCCGCTTCTGCATGACCGTGCTTGCAAACGCACCTGGCATGCAACAAGGAAAAAAAGGTTCTGTCTTGGAAAGCCGGGTTCTTGCGACAAGAACCCTTTTCTCGCAGATTTGTGCTTCAAATCCGGGTTCTCAACTCAGAACCTTTAAAATAAAAGGTTCTGCGAGTAGAGGGTATAATGTAATGTATATATATGTATATATATATATGTATATATATATATCTGTATATATACAATACATATGTATCGGAGTTTTTCTTTCGGGCACACAAGTCCGTGCCAAGCAGCTGTTGAGGCCAACAGCGTCAGGGAGCCTGGGAGACCAGAAGCCCAATGCGAAGAGCCAGTCCCTTGGACTAGATTTCATCCCTCAGTTCTTCAGTGGCCCTGGGAAAAGGGAACCCTTTTTGGGGCTTGGACCACTTTTAGTGGGGCAGCCACCCAAAAAAAGGGGGAAAAAGGGGGGCCACTGAACAACTGAGATCCTGTCATTACTCATCAAGACGTCTGTCATCACATCCTTGGAGTTTTTGCTTTCCAACATACACCCACAGAAATCATGTTCCCGCTCGCCATGGGCAGTTCCGCACACACACACACACACACAACACACACACACACACACACAATTCGGGCGCTAGCCCGCGACGCCCGGCGCGCGACGCCCGCCTGCGACTTTGGTCGTGCAGACTTTGAACCCGCAGCGTGCTCCAGGAACCCGAGCCCAAAGGGTCACAGTCCGCCTGAGGAGGATGTTGGTTAATATCAACCTTCAAGGAGAAGAGAGGGGTACGCTGCGGGCCCTAGTGTTTTCCATATGAAATGGTTGTGTTTGCAGATTTCAAGGCAAACCAACTGACTAATCCGCACCTCAACAACTGTTCGAGAAATTCCTGCCGGCGCAATATGAAGAAATGCCTCTTCGCGCCTGTTCATGGTGAGCTTGTACGAAACAGCATCCCAACCATGCGAATGTTTGCTTGGAAACCATCGGCACATGATGGCTTGTGGAGAAGTGAAGAATTCATGGAGCCAACGGGCCGTGTAGAGCCCTAGTTCATTCAAGCTTCCCTTGACAATGCGACCGACGGACAAAATCTGGTTTTTTTGGGGGACCCCTTTTTGGTTGGTTGTAAAGGAAAACCAAAAGGAAAGACACTCAAATTTGCGGGTTCAAATCCTGACAGAAAGACGAGCCCCCGTGTCTGTGAATTTGGCATCATATACCTTCGAAGTTCAATAGGATGTTTGTCTCTTGCTCCCCAATTGGGGGTGTCTTGTCTTGGAGTTGGTACCCCTTTTGGCAGGTAAGGGAAACCGCTGTTGACAACCGATATCCAATTTGGGGGGGGGGTCATCCCAGAACAGTCATACCCAATTCCTCTGCCTGCCAGCAATCTCCTGTTCTTCATCACACTTTGCCAGATCAGCTCCCCAAAAGGCTGCGATCGGAAACTGCGGTGTTCTGACAGGGATCCTTACATTATACACCGATCGAACATTGCAACTTGTAAATGGTGGTTTTCCTTTGTTTGGTACGGAAAAAGCCGCATGTTTCAAATGGTTGCAAAATGGAGATTTCTTTTAAGGAGCCCTGTCTGGCTTTTCCCCCCAAAAAAAATCCGACCTGGCGACTTCAGCACGAATGCACCGCTCCACCCAACATGTTAACCCCAGCCCTGGAAATTCATGGTGTTTTTTACCCCCCCCTTTTCTTCTGATCTGACCATACCCACCAAAGATATTGGGAAACTGGTCAGCAGCTTTACCCCAACAAAGACCACTTGCAAACAACAGCTGATGTTCTTCGCATTGCCCCCAACCCTGACTCCTGGCCTAAGAGTCAGGCAAAAACAAACACAACGACCCTTATTCGTCTCGTTGTTCTTTGTTTTTTCTTTTCTGCCACGCGGCGGAGGCAGAAAAGCTCCAGGTTCGATGAGGGCAGGGCCTTTGTTCGGCAGCCGGCGGCTCCGCCCAAAACCGCCGTGGCTTCCGCGCGGCATTTCTATGGGTAAATCTTCAAATGACTCAAGCCCCAGAACTCAGGGATCGAGTGAGCCCTGGAGCCCTGGCTCCATTTGGAAAATCCTGGAATCCAAGAACTCAAAAAAGACTCTAGAGGTTGGTTCCAACCATTCTTTTCAACCATCCTTTTTTTTCTAAAACCAACCGCTGTTTTTGTTCATGGGTTGATGTCCTGAATCCCCGGAAAGAACGGGGTATCAAACCCCCTGGAACCATGGTCCGCCAACCGACCGGTACGGCGGCTAGAGGGCATTCACACAATTTTTGTTGAGTAAAACCATCCTAAAAGGGTTCTCTCAGGAACAAACATGTCCTGAGGAGATCCTTTTTGTGGCTGTTTCCAAAAACCACAACAACAAAACACTGATTTTTTTGTTGGGTCCCCCTAGTTTGACACATCCCCCTCCATTTGGGATCAACCCATGGCTTTGGCTCGTTTTACTTTTCGGAATCCGTGGGATTGCTCCAGGTGGGCAGCGCCGGCCATCTCGGTGTGCGGCTGGCAGGTTGCATTGCCCTCGACGATGAAGGTGCCAGCAGGACATGCTGCGCAGTCCTGCAGGGTCTGTGCTTGTTTTCGAGTGGCTACCGTTGTGAAGTTGCGAATAAGGGGGAATTCCAAAAAGGAAAAAATCCTCCGATTTTGGGGGTCCGCCATTTTGCCGCATGACCAAAGGCAACCCGGATGCTGAAGGTTCCATTCATGACTCACTGGTTTCAAGCCCGGAAAATCAGACCGATGGCATGGACTTGGACTTCGGTGGAGCTCGGATTGGTCGAATGGTTCCAATCGCCCCCCCTCCAGCACAGACCAAGGGCCGCCAACTGATCTACCATAAAGCCGCACATGAGTATGCTACCGACAGTATTTTCATGATTTCTTCTGGATGGACGAAGTCCATTTCGCACCACCCAAGAAACCCTGGTTTCTGATTCGATTCCCCAACGTAAACGCCAACAAACCTTATGGTTTCAACCGTGGCGCGATTTCTGGATTTCGCGAGAACCATCCACGGTATGGGTGTTCAAGACATAGGAGAAATAAATTGGCCCTGGTAGATGATTAAAGCACCAGGTAAACCAGGGCCATCTACTTTTCGACCAAAACAACCAGAAAGGACACCTATGGTTCAAGATCTGATCCCCACAGTCGCTTGGGCACTTCCCACGGTCCCGCGCGCCGGGATGGCTCCACCGCCCCACAGGGCAGTCCATGCAGCTGCCAGACTGCCTCATGCTCCAGGTGCCAGCCCGGCAATCCATACCTGAGACTCCCACCCTCCCAAGTTACCCCTTCAAACATCCACCCCACCAGGGGGGGGGTCGTTTTGCCACCTTTGGTGGAAAAAAATATCGACCCCCTTGTAGTGAAGCATTCCTTGTTGAGGGGGTCGCCAATTTTCTCGCAAAAGGTGGCAAAACGACCCCCCTGCCAGGGACAGCCTTTCATGGGCCAAAAGGGCGATGGTGAACGCCACCAAAAAGGGGACATATAGGGACCCCCGTCCCTGGCAATGTGTTTGAGCTCGGACTCAGAGGCGATGTGTTTGAGGGTTCGTTGCGAAACCAAAAGGAAACGTGCTCCTTTTTTTTGTTGGGGGGGCGTTCCCCTATTTTGGTACGTGCCAAAACATGGATCGGATCCCCAGAATGGCTCTGGAATTGCATTGAAATCTGGCGATCGGAGCCCCGAAAATGGGGCTCCCGTGGCTTGCTCTTTAAATCAATCCAAAAAGGGGATGCCCACAACACGCGCACACACACACACACAATATCTCGGTTGCTTTCTGCTCCCCTGCTAAAAGTCTAACTTTTAGTAGTTTAATGGAAAACCCATTAGTTGGCAAAAAGCTAAAGTCCTAACATCCAAGCAAAATGCACCATTCAAAGCTATGTTTTGTGCGAGTTTAATTGCGCAAAACATGGCGCAGCAGCGTGCGACGCTGCACGAAACCCCTCTCTCAGGCAGGCGCAGGTCATGTCTGGAGATGGCGCATAGCGTCCCTCCGGGCACACAAAGCAGCGGCTGGAGTTGGTTGGACTCACCTGAGCCCCAGCCAAAACGAATGATGCAAATCTGCGGACCGCCAGAAGATCCGTTCCGAGACCTGGTGGACTGTGATTTGTGGGCCCTTCGGTGTTTCCCTCGATGCCCAGTGGATTTCCATCCGAGAAACTGGGCATCCCTTTTGGGTTGGCTGAGTTTACAGGGGAACCCCTTCCCCAAAAAAGTTGAAGAAAGGGCGGAAGCCACTCGGCTGGAGCAATGGCTGAACACACACCCAGACAATCGAAGCCCAACCCGCGGGCCAAACAAGCCGCGGTTGGCAAGTGGTCCGGGCTCCTTACAGCCAAAAGCGGTTGCCCAAACCCGACCGGAAACCGGGCCACGGCGGCCACGCGCTCAAGCGCCAACTCCGGGCCCCCCGCCGTGCCCACGGGGCACGCTGTGCAGCTGCCAGAGGCAACGCCGCTTCGAGTGCCGGCGGGGCACAAGCGGCACTGCTCCGCTTCCACCTAACAAGTTTCGAATCGACGCCGTCGGACGAGAGGTAAACGGGTTTTACGAGAGGCAAACCCATACAGGACAGCGAACAAGCAAAAGGATCATGGTGCAAATGCACATCCGATTTTTTGGTGCACCACATTTGTGTGAGCCAAGGTTGATCATGGAGGAATCTCCTTTTTGGTCTTCTCGAAAAGGCCTCTTGGAATATGTTTGAAGGAACCAAAGGAAGCAGTCCCATTTCGGGCTTCCACTATTCTGAGAAACACCCATGTGTCAAAATAGTTGTGGTCCTTTTGATGTCCCTTTCAACCGACCCCGAAAAGGGTGCCCTCGAAAACCCCACTCCCAGCTTGGCATCCATCCATCGGGATGCAAAACAGATGCGATGCAAGGAGATCAAATCTGGCGGGCTGGAGCCATCTGTCGGTGTCCACATGCTCAAACCAATGGATGCGCTGCGTGATGTCGTCCTTGCTCCAGGGTGCACCAAACATCCAGCCAACATGGCCCGTTATTCGGATACTAGCAATTTATGGGCACGTCATGGCCCCTTACTGCGTGAAACCGGAATCGGGAATTGTAGGCAGGCCTGCAGACTGTCGTGATATGCGGACAGTTGACAAAGGAAGCCCACTCACCTTGTGACCTTGTGAAATTGAACTATGTCTCACCAGCATTTGTTTGGTTGATTCCAAGATGCGCGTCCTGCAGGACAAACATCTTGAGCGCTCGTCAATTGAATTGGTGAGTCTTCGAAACATCCGATGTGTGGTCAGAACCGCCCCCAGGCACCTGGGTTTTGGAAATCGTTTTAGATGCATCGAAATCAACGAGGCAACATGTCCCAAGTGTTGATTTGGCCATCCACACAGGCGCAGAGAGATTGGTTGGCCAAGCCAATTGTTGGTCACATGTTTAAGCAACATGTGGCTGTGGCTCAGATTTTTCCAAAATGGCTCCTTGGTGAATGGAACCAAAGACTCAAACCGTACCCTAGCTCTTCAATTTTGAGCCACACCCATGTGCTTCGAAGATCCTTGTGCTTTTCTTAAGGGGAGCCCAGCGGCCGGTTCGCATGCCCAGCGGCTGGACTGAAGCTGCCGGCAGGGCATGGATGACAAGCACCTGACATCTCGTCGCTGAAGAAACCTGCAGCACCTGAGGTACCAAATGGGCGCTGGGCGCTTCTTCTGTTGGTCACTGGATTTCCCCAAATCAAAAAGTTCATCAATTTGCTGGTTTCCATTCAAACGATCGCCACTTTTGGAGGTTCCAAAAGAGGGAAAGGGAAATGGAAGAAACACTAGGCGCCTACAACAAACCCCAGATTTCTGATATATTTTTTTCCCCGGGTGGCCTTCCAAACATACCTAGCAAAGTGGTCTGCCCAACTTGGGTGTCTCTTTTTTGCAGGGTACCCTGCCCAGCATTGGTTTAAAGGAACACCCAACACCAAAAACCGAATGATTGGGCTTTCCCCAGTACAGGAAATCGACGCCCATTTTGGGGCACTACCATCTAGGTTTTGAACCCGGGATCTGGAAGAAACACTGAAAACACATGATATGAGTGTGTTTTCTTGGTGTACCCCCTTTTTGATTGGTTGCAAAAGGCTAAAAAGGAAACCGAAAGGAAAACCAACATTTTGGGGTCAAGAAAGACACACCCGTCAAAGATCGCGGATTGAGACTCGGGCAAACATCGCAACTGGAAGAGGATGTCCTGCTCGACCTAAAAGCCATGCTGCATGTTCGGAATCGAACAACTCCGCTGAAAGAATGAGAATTGCAACTTATCGTGCTACTGTGGATGGACACATTGCTGCACGACTTTGAAACCATGGTCCGCGTGGATATTGAACAAAACCACAAATTCTCAGGCAAACTCCCTGCAGGTTGGACACTCCCGTTTGCTTTTTACCCATCACACAAACCTCAGTTGGGGGCCGAAAGTCGGTATCTAAACCCTGGGGTGCAAACCATGAAAACAATGGTTGGGTGAATATAGCCACCATTCTTTACCGTTCAGAAGTTTCATCAAAAGTGTGACCATGCCGTGCTTATAATTGCTGGAGTAAATCGACCAAAAGGGGAATTTCGCCACCATTCAGAAACCCCGGTTTCTGATTCGATTCCCCGAGGTAAATACCAACAAATGTTACTTCCATTTGCTTAAGCCCGCTGGAACAAATTAAGTTGTGATAGGTTCCCATTAAAACCAACAAATGACAGGCTAGTGTTTCCATGCCCATGGTTTCTTGTGAAAAACCCTGGTTTCTGATTTGATTCCCCAACATAAATACCCGCAAACCTTGTGGTTTCAACCACGGCTTCGTTTCGTGGTGCAAACGGATTTGGCTGTGACTCGAACAAATGTACTAAAATGGCACCTGGGTAAATGAACTAAAGACTAACACCTGCGTACGCCTAGCTCTTTAACTTTACACCCATTTGGGTATGCGTCAAAACTAAATGACCAGGGCACCACAGGTTTTGGTCCATGCTTCCACTTGCCAGGGTAACCCATTTTGGGGTACCCATTTACACCCATTTTGCGTCCACCGAAAAACTGTGGCTCAAAAACTTTATTAAAATAATATCTTGGTTAATGAACTACAGACTAACACCTGCCTAACCCCCAGCTCTTCATTTTTGAGCCACACCCCTTTCGCGTCCATCCACCGGAAAGAGAACAATAAGAGGAAGAAAAAGGAGGAAACAACACACACAAAAACAAAAACGACACACAAAAGAAGAAAACACAAAGAAAAACAAAGAGGAAAACAACAAAAACGTCGCTTGGACCTTCGACCGGGCCGCCTGCCCGCGGGGCACTCGTCGCACTCGCTGGCGGCCTGTGAGCTGCGGCTGCCGGGGGCGCAGCTGCTGCAGCCCTTCTGGTCGTCACGGGACCTGCCGTCCGGGGCCTTTTGGGGGGAGGGGGGGGAGGGAGGGGGAGGGGGGGGGAGGGAGGGGGGGAGGGGGGGGGAGGGAGGGGGGGGCCGCGGGTGGTTTTTGGTTTCTTGATGGATTCGTTGGAACCAAATAGTGCTTGTTTGTTTTTGCCTTCTTGGCTTTTTTTGCATGGATTTTTTGTTTATGGTGTTTCCTTTGGTTCTTTTTTGTTGGAAGGGTTTTGCTTTTGGGGGGAGACAAATCCTCAAATCATGTGGTGTGTTCTTCTTCTTCTTCTTCTTATTATTATTATTATTCTTATTTTTTCCGGTGTCTTGTGTTGTTTTTGTTGGAAGGAGTTGTGTTTTTGGGTGGGGAGAAATCCTTACATCATATGTCTCTGCTTTTTTGTTGGCTAGAGGGCTGTTTTGCTCCTCCCCAACAGCTGAAAGCGATTTGGGGTGGCTCACGGCTCGAGGGGAGGTGACATGTAAGATGGTCAAGGGACATGTGGTGTGTCTGTAATTTGAGGCGTGTTAAACTTGGTGGGATAAACACGTCTTTGTTTAAGGCTACTTTTTGGGGTTGCCTAAGAGGAAAAACCAAAGAACAACACACAACTCCACAAGCAGCTGGCTCTTCCGCAAAAGGGGGGATGCCCCCAAAGCGAAGCATCCCGGATGCAGTTTGGTGAGTTCATTCCCAAATCCCCTTGAAGGATTCCCTGCGATTGCTCAAGACGTGTTTGGTTCGAAGGGGAGCCCAAGCAAAACGGGATCCTGAGCGTGCCATACCGTTCGCTTCCCGCCTGCCAGGCAGGCAGTCCGTACACTCCGTGGAAGCTTCTGCGCTCCACCTCCCTTCGGGGCATTCTCTGCACGGCTCATGGGGTTCTGGGGAATACCTCCCGGCGGGGCAGTTGCCGCACGCCTCCGAACCTTGCGGGCTGTACTGGCCGCCCAAACACTCGCCGCAGCCCGTGGCCTCGAGGCCGCTGAATCTGCCGGCGGGGCAGTCGCTGCAGTTGCTGGCGGGGTCGGTGATGTAGGTGCCCCCCAAACACGAGTCACAGGCGGTGGACGCCACACCGCTGAAGCGGCCTGGAGGGCACAGCTCGCAGACCTGTGAGGTTTTGATGGCATGCTGCAAGCTTGTTTTCAGCCACCTAACAAAATAAGAGTTGTTTCCAAATCGCCGGGGGCCCAATACAAGTAACCAATTCGGATTGCTTCCCCCAACCTCTCTTCCAGATTCCGGCCAACCTAAAACAGCCGACCTAAAACCATATTTGAGCTAGTTCAATTAACTTAAAAGCATCATTAATTCATTTTGGAACACTCTCTGCTCATGACCTCCCCGCACCAAAGTGAACAAAAGCACAAGACTGAACACCCCAAACCCGGAACTGGGGACCCCCAGAATGAAGCATATTTTTCCGGCAGGGTGATTCCTAGTTGTTTGGGAGGGGTGTAATTCTCAACGGGTGGACTAGGTTCTCCCATTTTAAGACAAACCCATGTGATAAACACCTCCAAACACTTTGAAAGTCTCTACAGCCAAGAAACTTGATCGGGGCGCAGAATGAACGTCCCAGCTGGGCAATCGTGGCATTCGTCTGCCTCCGTTCCGCTGAAAGTTCCAGGTGGGCAGCCTTTGCAGAACCCGGCGCCAGATTTGCTGATTGTCCCCGCTGGGCAGATGGAGCATTCCTCCGCCCTCTCCACGCTGAATCGACCAGACGGGCAATCCTCACAGGCAGAAGAGGAGGCATTGCCGGCGGCTTTGCCGGGAGGGCAGTCAGTGCAGTGATTGGAGGACTCATTGCCTCAGATGCCCAGTGGCCATGAGAAAAAAAGGGCATCCTTTTGGTTGGTTGACTTTAAAGGGGAACCCTTCCCAAACAAAAAAGCTGAAAAAAGGAACTGGGCAACTGGGTTGCTGTAGGTGCCCGCCTCGCACAATTCGCAAAGAACGGCCCCTGCATGGCTGAAGGTCCCAGACGGGCAAGTTTCGCACCCCTGATCCGGCGATATCATTTGGGTGCCCGGAGGGCAAATTTGACAGGCGCCCCATCCTTCGTCGCTCTGCGAGCCCGGTGGGCATGTGGAACAGTTGACGGCAGCAAAGCTGCTCCAAGTTCCCTCTTCACAGTTCCTGCACTCCTTGGCATCTGTCGTGAACTTCCCGGGATCGCAAGGCAGGCATTCGCTGGCGCCTGCATCACTTACGTAGCCTTCCTCACATGTGGAACACTCCGCGGATCCTCGTCGACTCGAAGTCCCTGCTGGACAAACCTCGCAAACAGGATCATCTGCCGAACGGATGAATTTACCAGCATCACCTTGGTCAGGCAAAGGTGAAGCAAACCCAGTCTCCACCACCTCCCGAGAGTAGAGCAAATGAGTAAACAAACTGCAGTCAGCTTAGTCAACGTTGTGCTGTTCCAGTAAGTGTGTGTTTGCATGCATTCTGATGGATGGTGATCCTTTCGCAGGTCAATAATTAGAGGGGAACACAGAAAACCAACCAGCACCAGTAGTGGCTTCATTCTGTAGCCTGAGGTTCCGACACTTCGAATGGAGAATGGACTTGGTTGACGTTGGAAGGGGAGCACAAATTTCAATTTTAGCAGTTAAGTGGTTCGAGTTCAACCACTAAACCACAATATGCAAACATGTAAACACAAAAAATGTTTCCTAACAACAACAATGTGGAGATCTCTCTATTTTCACAAATTCGTGCAATGTTTTTGTGCCCGGCGCCTGGGATACTTGACTGCGAAAAGAGCTGGGCTGATTTGGGTGCCTTGTCAAACTTGTGGAAGCTACACTTCTCCCCTCGAAACAAGGGGAAACAAACAGGAACCCCACTAGGTTGAAATTCCGCTTGTTCAAAAATGTTCGAACCACTCTTCTTTAAACAGCCTCCTTCTTCGGATTCCCTCTAAAAGAGTTGGGCCGACTCAGGTCTGGCTTCCACTATGGGGTTCTCTACAAAATAGGGCACCCCAAAAACTGGGTGGTCTCATTCTGGCTTCCATGTAAAGCACACAACTTGAGCCACGCCCAATTTGTTCCAAAACTTTTAACTCTTTGCTTAGCTCCCTTTTTTCCCTGTTTAGCAAACTTTCGGATACCCCCGCTCCCTTCCAACCAACAGCCTGCCATCCCCAGGGTTTCTCCCTTTGTCCCCACTGGGCTCCAGCCACTCCAAGCCACTCCAAGCCACTCCAAGCCACTCCAAGCCACTCCAAGCCACTCCAAGCCACTCCAAGCCACTCCAAGCCACTCCAAGCCCCTCCAAGCCACTCCAAGCCACTCCAAGCCACTCCAAGCCACTCCAAGCCACTCCAAGCCACTCAGACCCCCCAACCACTCCCCAACCCGACGCCTTCAACGCCGAGGGGCAGACTTCGCACTTCCCGGCGCCCGTGTCGCTCCGGGCGCCGGCGGGGCACGGATCGCACTCCGCGGCGCCGGCGGCGGAGAAGTTCCCGGCGGCGCAGGGCGGGCAGGCGCCGAAGGCGCTGCCACTGAACCTGGCTGGGGGGTGAAGGAGGGGTGAAGGAGGGGTGAAGGAGGGGGTGAAGGAGGGGGTAGAGGGGGGTAGAGGGTAAAGGGGAGGGGCAATGGGGTAGACAGGCAGGAAAGGGGGGGGTGGGGATGGGGAGGGGTGCGGTAAACAGGCAGGAACTGGGTGGGGCAGTGTGAGGGGAGTGTGCGCGGAGTGGGGTGCAGGGTGTGGCAAGGGGGAGGGCCGGGAAAGGGGAGGGACCTGTGAAAGTGTTCTTGCGAGCAATGGCGCAGTGTTTGCCGAGCAAGTGCGCCACCTTTGAGAAGCTGTGCCAACACTGCACAGTTTGAGCGCGTGGATGCTCAAGGACATTACAGAGGAAGTTATACTTGAAACTCAAGACTTAAAAAAGAAACGGAGTTAGTCCTATTTGGTCCTAGTCCTAGTTGAGAGATCCTTCCTTCCAGTCCTAGAAAGGCAAGTCATGCACTGGAGAGGCAACAAAAAGGTAGGTTTTCGGGGGGGGGGGGGGGGGTTGGCATAGCATATATATATATATATGTATAAGGTTCTCATGGTTTTCCAAGAAAGAGGAAAAGAGGAAATAGATGACCCATGATTGCTAATTTGATTTGTTTCCCCAACATAATGCCACAAGAATCTCCAATTTGACACCCCGATGCTCGGTGTAAGGTGAACTTCAAAGGAATCCGGAGAATGCGAACTTTCCAAGTATTTGAGTCAACTAGGACCAAACTAGGGCTAGAACCAAGGATCTATCAACTAAGACTACGAAACTCTAAATATTATAGTATTTGAAGTTCAAGTATAATCTTGCATTGGAATGGACATCCTGTGTAACAATTAAGTTGAAATAGAATAATCAATATTTAAAGCCTACTTTAAACTAGAAATTATGATGGGAGTGTGTCCTTGTTAAATTATGCTTAATGTCAGGTGTAATTTACGAAGACATTGATGCACATACTAAATATAATTCATAAGGAAAGAATTGAGAGGTCCCAAAACTGTTGAATAAATCATGTTTCAATGGTTTCTGATTTGTAAGAACAAGTCTTCTATTGAAAAGGATATCCTGTGTAACATTTGAGTTGAAATAGAAAACTCAATATTTTAATTCTACGTTGAGATGGAAATTCCGATTGGAGGCGTGTCTTGTTAAAATATGCTTAATTTCAGTTGGAAGTTGAGTAGACGTTGATCAAACATGAAGTAGTAGAGTTCATAAGGACAGAACTCGAAAATCGTTTCGTTTTCTTTTTTACTAGCCCCAGCACTACCATGGTCGTAAAACAGTGTTTTGCAGCGTTTGTTGCAATATCCACCAACGGCCGCTCTCTAAATTTGAGTATAGATTTTGAGGGATTTAAATGGGACTCAATAAGGAAATACTTGATCAGAATCCTATTGGACAGTATGTCTTGAATTTAGAATCTTGATAGAATGAATGTCTCAATAAACCTTTACAATTCAATTGGAGTTGAAACATAATTGAATAAGGAAATAATCCAAGCCTATATCTGACATGCGATTCAAGGTTTAATATCCCCTATACAAGTCTTCCCTGTAAACTTGAGTCCGGGCCCCACAGGAGTTCCTTTCCAACATAATGTTAGGCTTGGAAGTCACTTACTGGAAGATCTAGAGTTAAATAGTCTAGTCCTAGTTTGGTCCTAGTCCTAGTTGAGAGATCCTTAGAAGGACGACATGGCCGTTGAGGAATTATGGAAGACAGCCGAGCACTTTGACATGAAAAGCAAAGTGCAATCCTGAATCTGAGCATGGATTTAGAAGATTTAAGTGTAAATCTGGGCGTGGATTCAAGATGCAAGATCTGGAAAACTTTGGCCTGGAATCTTGAATCTGGGCCTAGATTTAAAAGATTTAAAAGATTGATATTCAAATCTCCCAGGCTCAAGATTCAAGATTCCCTGGAAAAGTGTGGCCTGGAATCTTGAATCTTGCATCTGGGAGATTTAAAGGATTCATAATATTAAAATTTAAATCTGGACCTCGATTGAAATCGATTGACATTTGAGTCCTTGGAAATACACCTTTGTACTGCTTAACTTCCAGAATGTTCTTGGAAAAGACACATGTGTTTTACTGCTTTTCCCAAGGCCCCAAAAAGAGCAAACACACCGCAAGCACCAGTCAACTCTTTGGAACGGTAGGTCCCTGGAGGGGGGGGGCTACCATATGTATATATATATATACACACGTACTATGGCGTATGCATGCACACATATATATATATATGTGTATCATATATATATATATATATACATAATATATATATATACACGTATTTATTCGTTTGTGTGTTCACTTCTCCATCTACTTATCTATGTGTCTATGTATCTCTTTGTTTGTTGTTGGTTTATCCAAATATATGGGTGTGGGTCAAAATTAAACCACTATGGGACCACAGGTTTGCATTTACCAGGGTTCCCCATGTGGGGTTACCCTATTTCTGACCCACTGCCATATTGTACATATGGCCATGGGTCAAAACCCCAGACCCCCCACTAAAATAGGAAGCCTAAACTGGGTGAATTCACCCAATCCAACCAAAATGGGATCGATACCACAACGGTTTTTGACCACAGCCACAGGGCTGGGACCCTTTTTCTCTGTTTGGCGTATGTTGATATTGTTTTGGTGTTGTTTGGGTGTATTTTGGCGCAGTTTTTGTGTTGTTTCCTGGGGTTTTGGCCGCTCTGGTTTCTCTGGTGCAGTTTTTTGCCAAAATGGGATCCAATTTTCAAAACGGTTGGAAACCACCACAGCTTAAAAAAAGGGGCCAGAGACGAGTTCCCTGCCCGGCTGCAAACTTTTGGCCGCGCCTGCCGGCTGCGCAGAGCTCACACCGTTGGGCGCCCGGCTCGCTGAAGCGGCCCGGAGCACAGGCCAGGCACCGGTCCGACCTGGGCGGAAGGGGCGCTCGAAGAATGGGGGGGCCACTTCCTCCGGGTGTCCTTTCCTACGGTGGATGGTTGCCAAATCCATTTCGCACCACTTTGACACCATGGTTGAAACCATGGTTGGTTGGTATTTAGAGGGGAATCGTCATTCCAGGGTTTCTTAGGTGGTGCAGGGTTTCGTCCATCCACAGTACCCAACCAAGAAAGGGGTGAGAAAGGGCACTACTGGGGGACCTAGTTTCGGTTTTCTGTTTAAAGCCATCCAACGTGGCACTGACGGTAGTCGAAAAGTTGGGGGCCAGGTGGATTCCTTTTGGTTTTGTGTTTAAAGCCATCAACCAAAAGGGGCCCGAGTCCCATTTTGAGAAACCCCCATATGGCGGAAAGGGGATGGCCTCGCAAGCCACTGCAAGTTCACAGGCTCTATGAAAAGAATGAGACAGAAAAGGAGGCAATGCTGTTCGGTGTGACAAGTGGCTACCTTCCTTTTGCGGGAACATTGAGGAGCCAGGATTCCTTGAAGGGGAAACACAACCCCATTTCACCCACCTAAAGGACACCCCAAAAACGGGCAAAGCAGTTGAATTTTCCACCAACCGGGTTTGAAGGTTTGGTTCATAGGCGGCATCTTGTCACTTTCGAGAACCAACCTGGTTCTGAATCGGGTGGGAAACTCACCAAGACTTGGCGGGACTGTTACGAGTTATGACCCACTTACCATAATTATGAGTCCCCCCAAGTGGGTTATAACGAGCCGGCCTCTAACATGGTTGGGCAAGAATACTTGAAATTAGCACAAACCCGTTGAATGGGCCCTCTCAGCTAAAGCTTCTTCATGTTTCTTCACCAGAAATGTTTATTGGAGGTCCTTTGTCCTTCTGGGGCCCGTCATGCCATCGTGTTTCATTTCCACCGTTACGATCATTGCACATGACACGCAAACCAATCTTCGCAACGCCAAACCTTTGCCTCCGATCGACAATTCCAAGATAATTTCTGAGAGGAACTCTGTGACTGTGTCATGCTCAAGGGTGTTACTTGGTACCAGGCCCAGGTGGAAAAATAATTCGGAACCCTTTTTCGGGTTCACCATGTTTGGTGGGCAACCCGCCAAACCAAAAGGTCGAAAGAGGGCCCCGCTCAGGGTTAGACCAAAACCTTGTTGAAACATGTTTATCAACTGTTGTTTTAACAGCCTGGTTTTGGATTCCTTCATAATACCAGGAGCTGGTAGTTACAACACATGTTGCAACCATCTTCGGCAGTGAACTGAACTGGTATGTCCGTCATGAAGTCACTCCCACAACCTCACCCCAACCCCAACTAAACGCAAAAGTGTACCAGGGTAGGCGGGGACAAAGGTGGACATAGTTGTGGGAACTTGGAACTTGGATTTTAAGGCCAACTCTGCGAGCGGCCAAGGGAATCTCATGTACGGTGGCAAAGTCGGCATGAAACCCGGGCAGAGACCTATTGACATTTCTCAAGATGTGGCCACTTGATAGCGAAGCTGTGGAAGTAGTGAAACAGCTCGTATTTTCCATTGGACCAACCAGGACCAGAAGTGACACAGAAGCCCCGGTGGTATCCCCAGCAGCAACCCCCGGAACCCTTCCGGAACCCTTGCCTGCAGCTGTTCCAAACCATTTTGGTGCCTATTTAAATAGCTTGAGCAAAAGCCCACAAGTGTTCAGCTGTTGGCTCGCAATCAAGCAAGCAAGCAACTCAAGTCACATTAGACATCAAATCAACCAACCAATCAAGCAATCAAAACAAACATGTAACAAGCGAGCACACAAATCAACAACCCAACCCAACCCAACCCAATCCAATCCATTCCAATCAAAACAGAAAGAAAAGAAAAACACCATGCTACACATGGTTTTCCTTGCTTGTTCCACCACGCAACTCTTTCCCCTGAGCCTCCCAGCCAGTCCCCCTGCCACTCCCCGCGCCACTCCCCGCGCAACCGCGGACGGGCCCGGCCTCCCGGCGCTGAACTTCCCGGCGTCGCAGCTGGCGCAGGGCGCCGCCGGGTCCCGCACGAAGCTCCCGGCACGGCACGGCAGGCAGCTCTCGGAGACCGCCAGGGAGCTGTGGCCGAAGGGGCACACCTCGCAGCCTGACCCAAGAAAAAAGCCATCCAAGAAGTCAGGCTTTATTCCTTAAAGGAAACCCCCAGGTTTACCCCTGAAAAATGAAATGACCCCGAAGAAGCATCCAACAAGTCTAGTGTGCTAGGGAGATGGGTCAAAAGCCAAATCGGTTAGCCCCCAGCGAACATCCCAATCCAACCACTAAAATAGACTAAAATGGGTGGTGCACGTACCCCCCCACAGCCAGATTGGTGGAATGGAAAACGTGGGGGTGGAGATATGGAGGTTGTGTGGGTTTGAACCAAGCTTGCTGGGAATGAGAAATTGAATGACCCCTAAGAAAAGCCATCCAACTGGTGGTGTCCTTCAAGGAAACCCCCAGGTTTGCTTAGATTGGTGGTATAGAATTTGGGTGTGTTGGAGGATATGAAGGGTATATGAGATTGAACCAAACTTGCTGGGAAGGAGAAATGGAATGACCCCAAGAAAAGAAAGAAAGAAAAAAAACAGCCCCAAATAGTTTCCTAGAGAATCCCCAGGTTGGGAAAGAGGCAGGATAACCCCGAGAAAACCAGTCGGAGATGGGATTGAATTTCTGGCTTTTGTAGAGGGCACATGGGAAACGTCTCCAAAACACCACCAACACCCTGATTCGGCTCCAAACCACCAATTGGAGGGAAGCTGAAAGTTTGCAGGTGCGATAAGCAGGGAATGAGAAATGGAATGACACATAAACCAAAACATGCCCGAAATGGTTTCCTTAAAGGGAATTCCGAAACAGTTCATTCCCAACACCCAGATGGGTCATTCCCTGCTGAGCACCAGCAAGACAAAGGAGGCGCCCCGGGTTGGAATTTCGGGGAATGGTTCACACGTTCCCGGGTTGGGTGTTTTTGCTGGCAAAAGAAACGAAAGGGTGTGATGCACCGAAAACAGGGCAAGCCCCCAAACCTTTCCCCGATAGGTAGATACATGAATAGATAGATAGAAGACAGGAAGAAAGGAATAAAGAAAGAAAGAAAGAAAGAAAGAAAGAAAAAAGCAGAAAAGGAAAGAAAGAACAAACAGAACACCAAAGGAAGGAAGGAAGGAAGGAAGGAAGGAAGGAAGGAAGGAAGGAAGGAAGGAAGGAAGGAAGGAAGGAAGGAAGGAAGGAAGGAAGGAAGGAAGGAAGGAAGGAAGGAGGGAGGGAGGGAGGAGGGAGGGAGGGAGGGAGGGAGGAAAGGAGGGAGGGAGGGAGGGAGGGAAGGAAGGAGGGAAGGAAGGGAGGGAGGGAGGGAGGGAAGGAAGGGAGGAAGGAAGGAGGGAGGGAGGGAGGGAGGGGAGGGAGGGAAGGAGGGAGGGAAGGAGGGAGGGAGGCAGGGAAGGAAGGAGGGAAGGAAGGGAGGGAGGGAGGGAAGGGAGGGAGGGAAGGGAGGGAGGGAGGGAGGGTGGCAAGAAAGAAAGAAAGAAAGAAAGAAAGAAAGCAAGGAAGAAAGAAAGCAAGGAAGAAAGAAAGAAAGAAAGAAAGAAAGAACGACGAAGAGAAAGAAGAGGAGAGCAGATTACAAGAGAAGACAGACAAAAACAAAGAAGAAAATAAAGAAGAAACAGACTATAGCTGCTTTGTGTAAATATAATATAATACACATCTGGGTGTGGGGTCAAAAATCGGGTAACCCCAAAAGTGGGTTGCCCGGGCAACCAGAAGGCAAGGCCTTGATTCCACCTGCGGTCCATATACCCATTGGAGTCACAATCAAAACCCATCAAAATGGTCTACCCAGAATCATGCTTCAATAATTAAGAAGGCGGATATCCGCAGCTAGTTGTGGCTGGGATTCTCCCTTACTAACCTTCATCTACCCGAATCGGTTTTGAGCAAGTGGCTCGAATTGGACCTTCCGCGCCCTTCCGTGCCCTGCGGGCCGGGGCCTGTAGAGCCCTGGCTGCTGAAAGTTCCACCGGGGCAGTCCTGGCACTCGCCGTCCCCTTGGGTCACGAAGCGCCCCGGCGAGCAAGGCACGCACTCCTCTTGCGAGCTCCAAAAAGACTCGGGAGCCTTTCGATTTCAAACAAAAATGGGGGGGGAGAATTTTGTCCCAGTCTCACCTGAAAGGATCGGAAGATGTTCATCTTAGACCTTCTGTCAGCTTCCAGGCAGGAGAATAGGATTCCTCAGGCTCCCTCCAGTTCCCCCTTGTTTGGACCTCAGGTGGTTTCAACGGAGCCCAACAGTCAATTGCACAGTTTGAAGCAAATGATTTAAGCATTGCTTTCATCCAGGAGTCTGCCCGCACAGGTTTGAGAAGATTCGACCTCAAAAAAAGACCCATCGAAACAAGCATTCAAGACTGGCATCTCGATGCGGCGCTTCACTTGCACTTTAGGCTATTGGCCGGAGGTTTGGGTTAGAAGTTTGGATTGGATTGGCTTGGCTTTGATTGGTTGATGTGTGGGTGTCTTCTCTCAAGGGTACCCCTTTTTAAGGCTGCACTTAAATAAGCCACAAAGCAAAACGAACACCCACCACTTGTTGGGCCCAAATCCAAATGAGATGCCCATTCCGTCCTTGGCGCCGCTGTCGCTCCGCGAGCCCGGAGCGCAAATACTGCAGCTACTGGCACCCTGAATGCTGAAAGTCCCCGCCGGGCACTCGCTGCAGGTGTGATTCTCGTCCAGGTAGTCCCCATAGTTGCACGGCAGGCACCTTTTTTCTTGTCATGTCCTTTAGCCCGGGACAAACAACATACTTGAGGGGGTCTTGACACTACCCCACCACCAACAACAACACCCTCCTTCCCCCCAAAAAACAACCACAGCCCCCCCAAACCACCAAAAAATACCCCCCCCCTTTTGTTTCACAAGACCCACCCAGGCCCCCCAAAAAACGACCACAGCCCCCCAAAACCACCAAAAATCCCCCCCTGTTAGGGGCCCCGGCGGTTTCACAAGACCCACCCAACTTGGGCCCCCCAACAAGAACACCACCCCTTCACACCCCACCCTCCCGCCACCAACGCCACCAACCCGCGCCTTTGGGAGCCAACGGAACTCCACTGGCCCATGGGGCACTGCGTGCAACTCGTGGAGCCCCTGGCGGCGGAACCCGGTCGAACCGGTCGAACCCGTGGGTCCCACGGTCAGCCCCTTCGGCGGCTAAGCGGCCAAGGGGGGAACCCCAAAATGGAAAATGGACAAAAACCTCTGCTTTGCCCCTCCGATCGTTTCAGTTTGAGCGGGCTGTGGATCAAAAATAGGACCCTGGTAAATGAAAAAGTAGACCAAAACCTGCGTAACCTTGGGTCTTTACTCTTGAGCCACACCCAAATGGAAACCAAGAGGAAAACCAACCATTTCGGGCGGGGGGAAACAAATCTCGCCTCAAATCCGCATCCAAACAAAGAGGGTCACCTGAAAAATGGGTTTTCTTCCTTCGTCTCAGCGTCCCTCCAGTTTCAGCTTCCCGCTGTTTGGTGGTTTGGAGCATTGGTTTGCTGCTCTGAAGGGGGTTCCCAGTGCTTTGGGGTGGTTTTGCATTGACCCTCCCAAAATTTCAATCCCCAAACCACGAATCCACACCAACTAGGGGGTACCTGATCCTCGTTCCCTTTAAAGCTCAAAAGCCAAGGTACCCTCGGAAAGAAAACCAACCCCAACTCTCTCTGGTGGCTTTGGAAGTTGGAGGAATTGCTTTTTTCGGTGACACGTTATGGACGCACATGTTGATGTTACATGATCTTTGAAACTAATGGGAACCCCGGGATGGAGACATCCCTGGTATATTAAAAGGGGAATGCCCCTTTGATTCAAACCACTTTTGTGGGTGACGCCCCTGTACTTTTGTTGGACGGGTCATCTTAGATCCGGTGTCAACATTAGCTTGAGCCTGGGGCCGAACGTACGCTGGGTGGTTCCATTGAAACTTTGGAGGCTCCAGAAAGGGAAATGATCTCACATGCCACCCCGCCTGTAGCTACTGCTGAAGGTGCCGGCGGGGCACTCCAAGCACTCCTCAAAGGCATCCCCCGAGGCAAACAGCCCCGGGGCGCACTCGATGCAATCCTTCATCCCCGGCGGGCTATACCTCAGGTGGCCAAGGCTGAAAAACCCAAAAAACAAACTGGCGCGAAGGCCCCCTTGTTGGTTGGGCGGGTCATGTATTTGGAAAACGAGATGGCCCCCTCTTTTGGTTGAGCGGGTCAGCATTTTTTGGAGAGTACCCAATGTTTTGGTCGGGCCGTGGCGAAAAGTCCAAAACAAAAAGATGGCGAAGGCCTCTGGTTTTTGTTGGCTGAGTTGTACCCTATTTGAGATGGTTTTAAAAAGAACCCCACTGGTTTGGTCCACAATTTTAAAGCTCCCTGCTTAGAGACAAGCCCTTGTGTTGGTTCTTTAAACAAATCTGTCTGCGATACCAGAGTGGGATTTACCGAGTGTGCGGTGATTGGCTTAGCGGGAAGCCAAAACAAACATGGCTTTTTCGAAGGTGCCCCTATTTTGACTCCCCAGCAAGATTCCAAAGGAATAACATTTTCTGCAACACCAAAGTAGGATTCCCATCCCCATGACTACTTCACTTTGCCGCGGGCTTCCTGTATCCCCGAAAATTGAAGAACCACCATGTCCAACCAACTGCTTTCATTTTCTGGCACAAAGAATTATTGAAGAGCAACTTCCTACGATAACGTTCCTCGGTCAGCTTCGTTTAAACCGGTGGAACCCACATACTTCTAACCAAACTAACCGGTCAAAAGCTACTGTCCTCAGATCCCCTAAAAGTTTTGCTTTTCAGTGGATCTTTCTGGAAACCCAACCACAAAAACCTAAAAACCCTGGGCTTTTCTGGAAAGCCAACCACTCAACAAACCAAAAACACCTCCTAAACTCCCTGGGTTTTTCTGGACACCCAACCACTCCACAAACCAAAAAAAACTAAAATCCCTGGGTTCTTCTGGAAACCCAACAACTCCACAAACCAAAAACACCTCCTAAACTCCCTGGGTTTTTCTGGAAACCCAACCACTCCACAAACCAAAAACACCTCCTAAACTCCCTGGGTTTTTCTGGAAACCCAACCACTCCACAAACCAAAAACACCTCCTAAAATCCCTGGGTTTTTCTGGAAACCCAACCACTCCACAAACCAAAAACACCTCCTAAACTCCCTGGGTTTTTCTGGAAACCCAACCACTCCACAAACCAAAAACACCTCCTAAAATCCCTGGGTTTTTCTGGAAACCCAACCACTCAACAAACCCAAAACCGCCCAACAAAACCCCCAGTCGAAAAGCCGCCGGCCCGGCCCAACCCTCCAGGGTGCCTCCCGGGCACGCACTGGCTGCAGGAGCTGCTTTGTGCCCAGCTGTGAGTGCCCGCAGGGCACCTGACGGGGGGGACCAAGTGGGTACCCTCCCGCCAACGAACGCGGAACCTGGCGGTTTCTGTTGTTTTTTTTGTTTTTTTTTGTGTGTGCGTTGTGTTTCTTCTTTCTCCGATTTTCGGGGGGTCCTGGTTTGGAGCATCTTCTTTTTAAAGGGACCCCCTGGCAAGTTCCATGTTGATTGGTGGGAGGGTGTTCTTCATTTGGCTGTGAGTCAAACGTGGCTACCCACAATGGGTCCCTGAGTGAATGGAAAGGACTAAACCTGCAGTATCTCGGTGAAACCTCTGTCCCATACCATTTGAGTCACAATCAAGACCTGGCATTAAATTGGTCGATCCCCAGAACCATGCTTCAAGAATTAAGAAGGCGGATATCCGCACCCAGTTATGGCAAGGGAATTGTCCCTTAACCGTCACCGACCCCGTTTGCGATTGTGACTTGAACGGCTCCCAAGCCAGCCAACAATTGGATTCCCTGTAACTCAGTCACCTAGGGATTTGGACCAAATGGCTCTGGTTCTCCGGTTGGCAACAATTCCGGATTTCCTCTTCATGTCCCCAAGGTTCTCGTTTCTGGTTTTCCTTTCAAGCAACCCAAACATGGTGATGTTTTTTTGATTAAACCAAGCAAACGTGGTGGTCCTCTTGTCAGTGTTCCTTTAAACCGACCTAAAAAGGGTACCAACTCCAAAAAAACACCCACCCACCTGGAACAGGAAGATGCGCCAGCTCCACTGTACTCACCCGCCGGACAGAACCGGCAACCGATGAGATATGACACGTTTACCGTCAGGTTCACGTAGCTCATGTACGTGCCCGGCTGGCATTCTTCGCAAAGCTGCCCGGTATAGCCGAAGCCCTCGGCACAAGGTTGAGCACCGAGTGGACATACCAACGCCAGGATTAAAATCAGCCTCCGTGGCATTGTGGGCCCTTGGCGGAACATCCAATGTCGAGGTCACCGGAACCGCCCCATGAGCAATACGTGCATGTCTGTTTAACAGACGCAACTCTGTTTGCGTGCAAATGATGTTTGGAACTATGCGTGCAAATGATACTTGGAACTATGCGTGCAAAATAAAATGGCATGGCCGTTGGTGCAGTTCGGACTTAACCCTTCATTTAGTGAGTGCATGAGTGCTTGACCATGTGCAGAATGCAAGAGCCTGGAGCCTGTAGGCCTAGAATTCAATCATAGCACGCGCGTCTTTGCTGTTGGAACTACACAAAACAAATCATCTCTCTGCAAGGAATTTGTCATAAGCTCACGAATTTTGGGTTGCATGCACCGTAAAGCTTTGTACAATGCACATTCATTTTCGCGAGCTATTTGCGATGGTGATACTCCACCTGAGAGGCTGTTGCCATCTCGATTTCGTGACCTAGCGTTGCAGGGCTCACTGGATCTTGCGGAATGCCTGGTAGAGCCGCCCACCGTGCAAGATCTCATCAGTGCAAAATCAGCCCTTGTGATACCAATGTGGCTCACTCCCGCGATGTTTTATAAAAGAAAGTGGCAACCTAAAACCAAGCATTTGCCACAACTTGCTGGTGCTCAGCAGGGAGTGAGGGAATGAGGGAATGACCCATCTAAACCATCCAACTGGTGGTTTCCTGTAAGGGGACCCGTGGTTCATTCCATTTCTCATTCCCTACCTGTCGCCACCAAAACAACCCATGCCAACCGAGAAAGTGCTCCCAGCCTGGCATGCCTTGTCCTGCAACAAGGCTCCAGGCTGCCTCCTGAGATCAGTCTGAGAATCTTGCGGGTTCGGTGGAGAGGACCCTCGTCTTAAAGACACCTTCTCATCAACAACATCTGAAGAGAAAAAGTGCCCAAGTGATCTTGACTGGTTGCACCCAGCTTCATGAGCAATCAGGAAACTCCTCATCAGCAACGTAGTGCCCAAGTGTTTTCGGCACTGCTTATATTGGAGTGGTACATGACATGTGGGTGTCCCTTTGAATTTCCTAGGCCCTCCCGTCCAACATGGAACCACTCAACGTTTCGGGGTATACATATGCTCCTTTGAAAGGAACCATTTCTGTGGTGGGCTCCATGTTATTGGACAGGAGGGTACTCTCACAAGAAAAAAAACACACACACACACACCCATCCCGTGGTGCAGGCCATTGCTGTGGGAACTTGGGCAACTGTCTGACGAGCGAGGGCTCACCACGTTGGGGCAAAAATCCATCCTATCGTACGTGAAGAAGCCTATTGAAGCAAAGAGCAAGCCATACTGTGGACGGACGAAATCCTGCACCAGCAAGAAACCCTGGAATGATGATTCCCTTGTAAATACCAACAAACAATGGCTTCCCATGGTTTCACAGTGGTGCGAAACGGATTTCGCAACCATCCACAGTACCTGGCAAACCCGGGTGGGATCATGTCCCCTGGCTTCCTTCCTGGATTCCTCTAGCCAAAAAAAATCGAATCGACCACACGGAATTGACCGACCATGGTCGACGCCCATCGATTGGCGTAAGAAGATGCCCCGTCCTCCGCTTCCTTGATGGTGTCATCCACCGAGATGCAGACTTGGACCTGCCAAGCTGGAGAACGGCTGCCGCGTGGTTTGCCCTTTTTGGCTTCTCTTTGCTATTCGCCAAGCAAGCGGCGTATGAAAAAAAATGAGAACAAAAACAAGCGTGTTTAGAGCCACCTCCAAAAAGCACACAGCCTGGTGAATGAAACAAGCTGAGCGTGCGGCCAGCATGGAGGCCCCGCCGACCCTGAAAGCCAAGTAGTCACAGAAGAAGACCTCGCGAAGAAGCCAAAGCCTCCAAGACACAAAATGGCGAGTTCATGTGAGTTCAGAGCAGCAACCTTTCACCCCGGTCTTCTTTTTCATGGGAAATGAGTCCTTTTTCTATTCCTGGGGTTAAGTTTCTGGTTTGCTGAAAGGAATACAGTCATTGAACAAGATATCATAAGCTCCGATGAGCAACGAGCCTACTTGCAGGTAGCTGCCGAGGCCGACGCGATGCCAAGAAGGCCCGAGATCATGCTGCTGACATCCAGGTCATATGGTCTGAACAGGAAGTGATGGCCCCAGCTGACGCCGAAGACCATCTGGTACCCGCCCATGGCAAAGACATACGCCGAGACGAAGGGGCATTTGTTGTCAACATCCCTGCAGGAGTGTGGACTGACTCAACTTCAGTTCAGCTGTCAAGGTTGTGCAATGCAAAATAATGAAACGCGTGCCTGTAGCAGTAAATGTACCTTGGCCAAAAGAATGCTGTACTCTAAGCATGCTCTGAAACGTGCAGGCACTGACTGCAACTCACAGCACACATACAATGAAAAAAACCGTGCGTTTGCTGTTGCTGTTATCGTTGTGGTTGTTCTTGTTGCTTTTGTTTTTCGTTCGTGTTGCTGCTGAGGCAACCCTTCATTCCTAGGGAGCCAAGAGCCAACCTCTTCATCCGTTGGTTTGGATTCGTGTTTTTTTCCGTTGGAAGGTCTCCAGGTCTAGCGCGGCTCAGCCGAGCAACTGGGGCAGCATCGAGATGCTCTCCAAGTAGGTGGAGAAAATCCAGAGAATCTCCACGACAAGGCCGTGATCTTCCAATGAATACACACCAAAGACTAGGGTCATCACCACTATGATGAACAGCGCCTCATGATACAACCTCCTTTGAAACACAAGTTTTGCCGCTATGATGCATATTAAGACCTGTTCTGCAGCCAAGCGGCCGCCGACAAGGATACCGTGTCTTTCTCATCCACACCTCGCTTTTGTGGATCTGCAGATATACACGTATCATACATAAGGTGTCGGACTGGCTCCGAAAATGTACAACAGCAGCACAATTTTCAGAGTTGCCGTCCACAGCAGCACCTTGTCACAAGCAGAAAACCCATAAACATGCACGCGATGATGTCCAACCTTGTACAGAACGAGGTAGATGGACTGATCACCTCAGGGCAGAATCGAAGAACAACAACATCATCACCAGGTTCTTGGGGCGCGGACAGAAAAAGACGTTAGAAAAGCGTGCCGTGAACACGATGAAATACAAGATGTGAGTCTTGAAGGAAATCCCCGAAGTGCCACTGTCCCGCAGAATGACTGCGAGGCAAAGCAACAACCTCGGATATGAGGCCCGCTGACGGCATGCAACCAAACCAAATTGATGCTACCAATGCAGACAAAGGACGCAACAACGTGGACGATGTCACCACAATACCTTGCAAGAGCTGGCAAAATCATACCATCTGCCGCACCAGAACGTGGGATTCTGCACATATCAAATCACCATAGTTCATGTTTTTAAAACTGATCGTGTTGTTGCTTGTAACAACAATTGGCCAAGTTGCTGGAAGACGTCAAACGTGTAATGTCTGACTGAGAGGTGGCGCTGTGTGCAGATCGGCTCGAAATAGCCCTGCTCCTCCGAACGCCAAACTGGTTTTGTCGTTCGGCCATGCGCGTGGCAAGGGATTTCAAGGCTAGTGGCGAATTGCAGACCCGTGTTCCCAAACAATGAACACCCCAAAATTTGGCCTCGCCAACACGTTGCTCCTTGGCCGCGTTGACGGCCTGACCAGCCCGAACAGCTCACAAAACCAAATTCAAGGCTGGCAAGCCAATCAATCTGGGCATATGTTTTTTTTTTGAGGGTACCCTTTTCTTTCTGGAGTTACTTTTGGAAAACCAATAGGAAAACCACCCATTTTGGGGTCCCCCATGTGAAGACACACCCACTTGCATCGGCCTTCTGGAGCTTGGAGTGCGCATGGCTACCAGCTTGCTTCGCAACTTTGGCGACCCGGTCCATGCAACTCAACACCCGAGTGTGCTGATTGTGTCGGATTGAACCGAGAAAAAAAAAAAAAACAAAAAAAAACAAGAGGTTCAGCAACAAGTTGCCTTGACAATCTGAGCGTGTTTCATTTGAGCTCGCAAAACCGCGGAATCCTGCAAGTAATCTAAATCTGAACACATTTGCGGGCTGCCCTGCCCCCCCCCTTGCAGGCGGCCCTGGCGCACTCTCCTTTCCATGGCTGTAAATGCATGTTTTCTTCGATCGCGTTTGGCATCGTTGGGCACGTGCCACTACATGAGTGCCACCGCATGAATGCCACCATGTCCACCATTTGATGAATTCGGGATTGCATGAATTCCAAAAGTCTTCGGCAATCGCATTTCACATCGAATTCGCCGTCTGTACCTTCCAAGCTTCGAAAATCGGCTATCCAAAAAAAACAGCAGGCCTCGGTCACCAAACCAAAACTCTTCCAAACAAAATCTCGGGCCACACTCAGCAAACGCCACAAAGCGCCATGCATTGCAGCATGCGTTCGGAAGGTCCAGGACAGTCACCGCCACCAAGAGGGCCATCCTCAAGAAAAGCCGGGCTCGGATCAAAAGACGTCAAACTGCGTTCGTTGCACGTCCCGTTGAACCATGCTCAGCTCTGGGGCGCAGGCCGAAGCCGGCACCTGGAAAGGTTTGTGACACTTGAGGAGCGGGTGAACGAAAGCTAGCAGTTGTTGCATGAGATGGGTCGGTGACAGAGTGGATTCATAGGTAGCTTGTGTACAACGAGAGGCCCGGCAAGATTCGTAGGATGCGACACGCAAACGCACATGGTGGCGTGGCAAACCTTGAAAAATGAAAACAACGAGAGGCGTCAGAAGCTGTCTTAAAGCACCTCTGGGTTCTGCATGCTGCGTGTGCAAAGATTCTTGCGAGGTGGTTTACCGAGAAGACTGAGGTCTCAAATGAACAAGCTGAATCGGTGGAACATGTAAAAGTTCGTAGCACCAAGTCCAAAACGGGCAAACCGAGACTGCTGAACACTGAGCCACTGCCGGGGGGGGGGGATGGACCAGGGAGGAATCGAGCCTGAGACCGGGGGGGGGGGGGGGGGGGGGGGGTCTAAATAATTGATGTTTTTCAATCTTTTCGGCTCAAATAATTGAAAAAATCAATCTTTCGGCATTTGAGCCCCTTACCTTGCTTACGCAAGGAGAAACTTCAGCTAGCTAAAGCTAGCTTTCGTGATCACCAGCATCATTACAGTCTTCTCCTATCGGTTGCCTGTGGGTTTCCTCAAGATGGGTTTCCTGTTGGTGCTCCTATCGGTTGCAGCCTGTGGATTATCCCAAGATGGGTTTCCTTCCGGCTTCCCCATGCAGCATGCCTGCCCTCAAAAACGAGGCAGACCCAGTTGTCAGTTTGCCTTCGCAAAGGCAGTGGGGGCGTGGGGGCCCGAGAGCTTTGAACAAGCCAGTCCGGGTTGATCTTTTTTCTTTTTCTCTCTCTTTCACTTTGTCTTTGATTTGATCTGCCTCTTTGTCTTCCCTTTCCCCTTTCCATTTCTTTTCCTTGCTTTACTTGTGATGTCCTTTCTTGCTTGGTGAGTTGCTGTGTTATTGCTCTTTGATTCTTTATTCAGTATTTATTACTCCTTTCTATCTTTCTGCATGTCCGCCGGCATTGCGGAGGCGTGTCGGATACTTAAGAGAGGATGGAAGATCACCCCCCCCTCCAAAGAAAGAAAGAAAGAAAGTAAGAAAGAAAGAAAGCAAGAAAGGACAAAAGGGAAAAAGAAAGGAAGGAACCGAGGGAGGGAGGAAGGAAGGAAGGAAGGAAGGAAGGGAGGGAGGGAGGGAGGGAGGGAGGGAGGAAGGAAGGAAGAGGGAAGGAAAAGAAAGAAACTTTGGAGCCTCTGGCTCAGTCCGCCGACATTGTCCTCTCCCTTTTCTCCTTCTTCCTCTCTCTCTTGTCTCCTCCCCCGTATGTTCCGTCGTCCTCTCTCCCTCCCTCTGCTCCCCATCCTCCCCATCCTTTCAAGCCTCTCTCTCCTCAATCTCCCTCTTTCTGTCTCTCTCTCTCTCTCTCTCTCTCTCTGTTTCTCTTTCTCTTACTGTCTCCCTGTCTCCTTCCTGTCCACGCCTCTCTACAGAAAAGGGGTAGTCCTTTGTTTCCCTTTCATTCCCCCTGCACTCCCCTTGTTTTCATTTCTGTCCCTTTCATGTCCCTTTCAGTTTCCCTTTCTTTCCCTTTCATTTCCCTTTGTTTCCCTTTCATTTCCCCTTTGTTTCCCTTTCATTTCCCCTTGCTTTCTTTCCTGTCATGTCGACTTCCAATTTCCTCCCCTCATTTCTTTGCACTTCCTTGCATTTATGACCTATCCCAAAATGGTACCATTGGTTTTGGCCCACGGCCATATGGACTTGACCTCTTTTGGGGGCTTGGGGGTTTCGAACACCTTAGGAATTTGGGGCTGCTTTGCGAAGGGACCCTCGAAAAGGTTGACCAGAAAAGGGATGTGGCTTTTGAGGCTGGGTACGCTGAAAAGGAGGTTGGTGGGAATCCAAAGACAAGCCAATTTTTTGCGGTCCAAATCCCAATATGGGGATGCTTCTAGAAACGGGGAAATTGGGGAAAGAAACGCGGTTTGTCCAGCGTTTTCGCAAAAAGGGTGTCAAAAAAACCAGAATTCTTCCAGATTTTCGGCAAGGAGGCAGGAACCCAAACCAGCAAAGAGCCGGCAGGGGGCATTCGAGCCTGGGACCCCAAGACTACGCTTAGTGGAACGTCATCAAATTACCGCGCAGTACGTCACCCTCCTTCCGACTTCGTTCTCGTTTCCTGCTGCTTTCCAGCCGCACATGCGAAACGGAAAGGCAGATCTCCAAAATCCATCCAGCGCCGAGTGGAGGACCTTCCGGTGAATCATCCGACCTCGGCTCAGCCGCAAACTCCCCCCGAAATTCCCCGCCACTTCAAGGCCGGAGCGGACTGCCAGGGTTGGCATCCTGCAAGCTGACAACTGTTCAGGTGAGTTTTTCGCATGTGGATGGACAAAATTATGCACCACCTAAGAAACCCTGGTTTCTGATGATTCCCTTGCAATACCAACAAACCATGGTTTCCCATGGTTTCAAAGTGGTGCAGGATTATGTCCATCCACAGTATGGGTATGGGTCAAAATGAAATCACCACGGGGGAACCGCAGGTTTTCGTCCTTGGTTCCATTTTCCAGTGCAACCCATTTTGGGGTTACCCCATTTTTGACCGGGTCACCTGGTCCCACATGGGGGTTGATCAAAAGGTCCGACATACATGGGATGACAAATGGTTGGAAAAAGTTTAAAAAGGCCAGCATGTTGATCAACCCCCATGTGGAGGTTATATGGCCGTGTCTCAAAATTAGGGACCCGATTAAAAGTGGTTGTTGTTTCCTCTTGGTCTCCCATTTTAACGCTATGTTGAGGCGTCCACATGTACCACTTAAGATACTGCATGACCGGCTTTCCATTGTCCATTGAAGCCCACCAAAACCGGAGAACAGGTCCTCAAGAAAAGACAGACCCACTGTCCGGTGGAAGGGGTGAAGGACAACCATAAAGCTAAGGGACTGATTTTAGGAGATGTCTGAAGACTGCCTATCTATGCGCCATTGGCGGCAAGTTTTGTCTTTCCTGCCCAATCGGGACCGTGATCTACCGAAAGGCTTCCCGTGAGATCCCCCCTTGAAAGGACTCAGCGCCTAAGCGTGGCAACGACTCCAAATCTGGCTGCACACATGGTCCAAACCCTCACGTGGGCCAGGTTCTTGATGAAAACCCTCGCACGTTGTTGCAATCCCAGCCATCCCTACCCAGCCCAAAGAAGGTTCCAGCATGCCACTTCCCGGCCAAACGCGCCCAACGCCCACTCCTCCTCCAGCGCGCTTGGCGGGAGTGGCCTGGCAAAGCGGTAAGCCCTCGCCACATGTGGGTCTGCAGTTTGGGGTATTCCTGGGAAGTTTGACCGGAATCCTGAAACGGAAATGGTACCCTTCTTCGGGTTGATTTAGACACTTTTTACCTCCAAGTGCCGAAACCTGCGCCTGGGCTGCAAGCATACGCCGTGCATAGCAAAACCTGTACAGCCTGTACCTGTACCTATGCCTCAGGCTAGCTGTGCTTTAACCTGTGCCTACATCCGAACTTCTGGAGCAAGTATACGCAAGCTCGGTAAGGTGGTTCAAGGGAACAGGTTTGTAGGCTCAGGCACGTGTGCCTATACCTGTGCCCAACCTATATACCTGGGAGGATTAATTATTCAGGTATCATCCACCTGAAGATCTACAAACCTATGCGGGGACAATGCATAATTTTCTTGTTCTCGCATGCCTCGACTGGTACGGAAGTATACACGGCAGGCCAGGGGGGCCGGAGGTTTAGCCATACATGCACGCAGCGCCACGCCGACAGGTACCTTCTCCTCTCCATATGTCTGGAAGCGGCTGAAACGTAAATCGTCACAGAAGGTGGTTTTGCCATATTTGCTCATGTAATGGGCTTGTTTCTGAGAGAAACATACGGAAAACCCACCCGGGTTTCCCCGATTTCGACACTGCAAGGCATCGTCCGTTCGAGCGCACACCAGAGGAGGGGCATTTTGGTACCTACTGGGTTGGTCTTGCAGCTGCCCCTGTTGGGGCTGCAAATGGAAACCAAAGGGACAACCACATTCTGCAGGGTCAAATTTTGAGATATCCGCCTGTTCCGAGATGAATGTGCCGATATTTGGGGGAAGGTATGCGATACCTCGTGTAACATCCGCACTTTGAGAGTCCGCGTGCGCATCTCAGTGGACGAACCAGGCTTCAACCCCAGCCCGTCAGCACGGCATGCAGCACTGTAGCCGCTGAACTGAGGAACCCTCTGAGCACTTCCTCTTGGAATCGCGCTTGAAATTTCTTCCACAGGATCCGCCAAAGTCTCAGTTGCTTATTATGGGGCCCTACAATACATTAAACATGTCTAGTTTAACGTGTATTAACGTGAACTAGCGTTATTTAGCGCT